CAAGGTAGGTTGGAATTTAAAAGGGGCGACATCGGACAATAACCACACCCACCTCCCATTTATTGGTATTTTCGATATATGCAAAAACTGCGATATTTCCGTAAATACTGGATCCAAATTGTTGAAAGTTGGTATGCGAAGTAGAATTTTGGCATAAAATAAGACAGTTATGAAATTTTTTGAAAATGGGCGTGGCACCGCCCACTTACGATGAAATGCTGTATCCCTGTAGTCCCTTCACCAATCCCGGTATGAACATTATTTAGAGCCTCACTATGAAATACAAGAACTGTGATAAATTAGTAACTGTTTAAGATAATTTACTCCAAATCGATATATACAATGACGTCTCAGCACAAAATGCTACTTAGGGAAATTTTGGGGAAAATGGGCGTGGCACCACCTTTACATAGTATATTGATAGCCCCCTTATCGATTTCCACCAAACTTGCTACAATTATTTCAATATCTCATAGCATATTATCGAAACTATTTGACATTGGGAAAAACGATATTTAATACGTGCGTCGGGTATATGTATATAGTTCGGTTTCGCCCGAACTTATACTTCTTTACTTGTTTTGTTTGGTGTTCAGTAGTTAGTGCCAAACTAGTCTAAAATTAGCCCCTATCAACGAACCAAAGTTTTCGGTAGGTTCAACAGAATGCAGCCCGACTATTTACAATTTTATGCAAACTAGCTATTTTTTGTCTCCAAAAATAACTAGTTATTTTTGAGTCTGTATCGGGCTAGTTTGATTTTTTTTTTTTTAAATAAGTTTTCGCTTTAGGTAAGTAATATAAACTGCAAATGCCCAACGTCACTACTCACATACATACCCACAAACATATGCATGTGTAAATCTAATAATACCTACTACGAAAATGACCCGAAAACTGCAAACACACGCCAGTCAAAAGTAAATAAATTAAGAAATAAAGTATGCACATTAAGGTACTAAAACCAACAAAAGGAAAACACAACGAACGGAATTGTATTAAGTGAATAAGCAAGTAAATAAAAACGGTAAATACGCAGCTATGCAGTCGTACATTAAAATGCCTCGTCTACATTTCAAAGTGACAAACTGTTTGTGACCTGAATATTAGGAGGATTCAAGAAGTCTTCCAAAGCCCTTGCACGGTGTAGGGATTACACGGCAAACACTTAACTCTCTATTTACATATTTAACTCTGGATATTCTGCAAGCGGGTCGTAGTTTATTATAAAAATTTATAGAACCTGAAAAGCGGAACAAAAATGTCTATTCTCTATTTTAAAATACCAATTTTCGGAAAGCAGTTTCAAATTAAAACCAGTGTCATTATTTTCATCTAGTAATTCACTCCTCCAGAATTAACCGACACTGTGCCGATCCTATATCAATGTAAAATCGGCTTGAATCCTATCGATCATATTCCATTGTAAGCATGCGCATAGTAAGACAAATACTGGTGTAACCTGTAGTCTGCGTGGCGATCTAAGTTCATTCTGACTAAGCTTGTCAAAAAGCGGTGGAGATCAGCTATCTCCCTGAGGCCGAAATTAATTACATCGAATAGGCCTGACAGTCAAACTTACATATATCATATCTATTCTATGTATCTATCTTTCGTAAGTTAGGCATTGGACTCTCACAGAGAATTATTTACTTCAATTTCGTAAGGTCATTTGCTTCCATATAACGAATAAACACAATTTATTTTTATATGGGAAAAAATAGTATTTTTGACAAGAACAAAAAAAAGTATACATAAACAATTAGCGGTAATTTTTAACCATTTGAAGTTTGTACTTTATTCTACTAGAATTCAATTGGTTGCATACTCAAAATCTTTCCATGAAATTTTTACCAAAGTGTGCTGTTTTTTTAATATTACACAAAGTTTAAAACTTGAATTTACACTGGTTTTGTTAAAGAATGAACATTATTTTTATAAAAAATGGCAAAAATTAAATAACCAAAAATATAATATGTTAAAACTTGTGGTGTGGCTATAATTTCTTCGACCGCTGTAAGTGCCTACTCCAGACAATGCCCGTTATTACTCCAACTGTGAGCCTAAAATTCACCGACTAATGACCCCAGTTCTATCTGGTTCTCATATGCTGCTGATTTATCATCCTTAAAGGGATCTCAAGGTGCTTCGGGTGAAATTGGGTCGTCTGCCTTTTCATGAAACTCTATACAATGCAGATGTACGATTTTAAGCGATATAAAGTATATTTTTTTCAACCTGCGTTGAATATCGCCTGATTCGCTTAAGAGATGCGTTATCCTTCAGTAACGTATGCACTGCCTGCTCACCGCTAAACTTCAGCTTCAAAGTCGCTATGGTACTGCGGTAGTTTCAAAGAATTACCGAGCCCTATTAAGAAGAATATACCACAGTTACCACGCCTTCTTCAATTTTGGGACCGTCCATGTAGATGCGTGTCGTGATTTTAGCACCTTGACACCACCTATAAACCATACACTTTTATTTTAGTGCCTAGAAACTATCCGAAGCTCGGGCTTGGAGTCATGTTAATAGTCAGCGATCTTAACCGGAATGCAGCTCATCTTATATGTACATATACAGAAGAACTCTCTTGTTCCATCAACCTAATTCGTATTGTTGTTTCTGACGTTCTGAAAGCTAGGTAGTCGATTTTACTTTGCAGTATTGTAACACGAGGGCTGTGAAATCTGCAGTCATAAAAGTTATTCTGGTAGCTTGCGTACTCAGATTTTAATTAGAGAACGAGAAACAGACTAACAACTTGCCGAGATATTCAAATACTTAGAACTCAATAATTAGGCAGCGAGAAACTCTGATGATGATTTTTAAGCGATTGCTAAAAAAAAACCAACTTTACTTCGTCGAAAAAAGAAATTCTATAATCCTCTCATCGCTGGAAACCAAAACATTGTTTATTAATCATAAAACAAGTACAACTCAAAAACTTCATTCTTTAGGGGGATTTTCTGATTCTTACTTTGGTACATGGAAGTTTAATTTCCAAAGGATGAAGCTAAATAAAATGTTGAAACTTCCAATTAACCCAGTATGTTGGAAAGAAAAGCCAAATTATTTTCAAAAATTTGCAGCATTGCGAAAAATAGCTTCGACTTTTAAAACTTTTGGTAGCAACTTTATAACATGCATAGCAAATGAAATAGTCGTGCAAATAACAGAAAAATAAAGTAAAAAATCCAAAATATAAAATTCTTAAGGATAAAAAATGCAATTAAAAAAAGATAAGTAACGACGATAAAATGGGACCTAGGTAAGTTCAAAGGCTTGAAATACGTAAAACAAAAGGCATGAGAAAATTTATGTGAGAAACCGAATGTATGTAAGAGAAAAATATGGCACACAAACATACACATGTGCATATGAACATATATGTATATGTATGTAATAATGATAAAAAAATCATGTGCAGCCTAGAAAAACCGTGCCGCCAGCGACATTGGTGCGATCGCGACAATTGGCCAACATATGTTGCAATGAGCTGCAGCAAGCAATATATGTATGTACACTACAAACATATGTACCCAGTTGGAAAATGTAATCTATAGTAATCGAAAAAATAATCAGTAAAAAACCCTTTTCACATTCGAAAATGCATTTTTTTCCCAAGCCGATGTCCCAAGAAAAGTGGGGCATTCAATTTTGCATTACCTAGTATCAAGAAATTAATGTGTTTTAATATGAAATTTTTAGGAAATTTTTGAATACATTAGAATGCTGATTACATGGTTAGCAGTCATATTATCGAGAACGAATAAGAAATACATTATATTATTTATCACGCATGTAATGCAGTACAACTTTTCCGACCGGGTATGTATGTATGATGCCAAGTCGAAGGCGGATATATCAGATGCATATAAATGTATACACCCCTACGTGGATATGTATGTAGATATAGAAGCTGCTTGTTTTTGTCGTCAAAATGAAAAATATGAGGACATGAAAAAAATGGCTTGCAATTTTTTTTTGTATGCAATCAAATTGAAATTACAGCAACAACAATCGTATACAAAAGTGTTGTATTGCATTGTCAGCGCATATGCATTTTTGGAGCACTTCTCAAGTGCATTTTTTCGATTTCTTAAGATATTGCGGTATGGATGCAGCATATCGCTAGCTTAGAGCAAAAAGTTGTTAAGTTAATTTTTCACAAATTCAACGACAAAGGAAAAAACCTACTAATAGCCATTTTCTATATGTATTTTGCAAACAACATTCTGAGAGTTAAAAATCCATACGGTTTAAAAGATTCCGAGGTTAATTAAAAGATTTCGTGTTTAATTTAGTCATATCGAATTTTCTGTACCTCTTTTGCGTTTAGCAATTTTGCCTTTCATTGTGAACAAAAAGAGATGAAATAAAGCAATCACCCTTAATCGTTTTGGGGATGACGCATTTTTAATTTTGCTTATTAATTTTATCAAAAAAAAAAAACAGTTTTCGTAAAAAGTTGACTTAGCAATCTTCCATAATAAGCTAGCGATATGTACAGTGGGCGTCGAAAATAAGAATACCCTGACGTTTTGACGATTTTATGTACATATTTATATTTCCCTCCATATAACGCATAAACACAATCTTTTTTTGTATATGAAAGTAGGTACGCAACACCTTCAAAGAAAAAATTCCCCAAAAAACAACGGCAATATTTTTTTTCATCTTGAAACTTGCACTTTATTGTACTAAAATTTAATGGGCTACAAAACTGAATACTAAAAAACTTTCTAAGAAATCGTTTTGAAAATTTTAAAATTTCCATTAATGTTTCTTGCATTTTACGAAATTAAAAAAATGATTCTTGTGGTTTTTGCTGTTGAATGAGCAATATAAAAAAAAAAAAAAAATTGTTATGGAAAATATAAATAAATAAATTCATCAAAACGCTAGGGTACACTTATTTTTGACGCTCATTGTATTTGCGCACTTATGACACATTGCATATTTATTAAAGCAGTCGCATCACATTGCGGATGCAAGACGATGCAATAATCTCGCAAGAGTCGCGATTTTGGCAATTTTTTTTTTCATAATTTGTACTGGAATCCTTGAAAAATATTTGCGGATTTCAATTCACACGATTATGGTGAATGCTTTGAGAAGCTACTGAAATGAATTGTCACTAAATTAAGTGATCAAAGTGGTGAAAAAATTATCAAAAGTTAATCAAAGTTGTATGAAAGAGTATTGGGTTTGACTTGATAGAAAAAAAGAAAGTTTCAAATGACAAATTAAAAAAATTGCGCGGAAAGAATTAAATTATGAAAAAAAAGCTCAACCAGTTTTTTTTTTCATATACTTTTCGAAATGAGTGGTAGTTCAAAACTTATAGGCATGACAAGATTAATCGCCTGGGGTATTTTATGTAGTTTTTGGAGACCGGACACTTTTTGCGAAATTGAATCCGGATCGGAATCAACAATAATTTTACAAAGAGGGAGTTTGCAAATAATTATTTTTACTAAGAGCTCGACCGAACTTCTCGCGTAGCCTCGATATTCTCAATCAAATACATACGGACATCTGCAGTATTATGCCGCCTTTGAACATCAAATTGTTTCTTAGGAGAATTTTTTCATGCTGCAAAAAAAAAATGATTTGTTTCAATAATTTTTTCTGCTTTTTACTGAATTTTTTTCTATTATCTATTCTATACTATTCCTTTTAGAAAAATAAGCGTTTTATAAAAATTACAAACTCCCTAAATTTTTTTCAAGAAACAATTTTTCATTTAAGATTTTTTTCTTACAGTGCATTTTTTTAATGAAATTTTATTGGATTTGCGATAGAATTTTTTTTAATGTTTTAACAAACAATTTTCTTCGCCAATTTCTCCTGCTATTAGTAAAACAGTTTTGTTTCTAAGTAACGCATTAAAAAAATATATATTTTTACTATAGATGAGATAATTATTTTGAGATAATTATATTTACATATGTTTTCTAAAGATAACACATTTTCCTAAATACTCGATTTTTCAAGAAATATTTTTCGATTAAAAAATTTGATTCTTAAAGTGCATTTTTCTTGTGAAAATAAGATTTTTCTAAAAAGGTATTTTTTCTAAAAATTTATTATTTTCCATAACTGATTTTTTTCAAATATTCCTTTTCCAATTTGTAGTAAATTTTTTAATTTTTTTAACATTTTCCCAAACAAACTTTCGCCACAAAAAAATAGTTTGGACCGAACTTTTTTTCTGCTTTTAGTATAAATAATCTTTTTTACGTAGATAATGCATTTTTTTCTAAAAAACTGTTTTTCTATAGATGAGATATTATTTTCAGAAAAAGTATTCTTTTCTACAAATTATACTCTTTTTTTACAAGTTCTTTTTTTCAAGAAATAGTTTTTATCTAAAGATTTTTTTTTAAAGTTCGATATTCTTTTACAATATAGATTTTTAAAAAAAGTATTTTTCCAAAAACTTATTAGTTGCCATAACTGATTTTTTTATATTTTTGCAACTTGTAAGGTTTTTAATGTTTTCCCCTAAAAATCTTTTTTCGCCACAAATAACTTCTCTCGATAAATTTTTCGGCTTTAGTAAGACTAATTTTTCTCTATTCTCTGATACATTTTTTTCAAAAAAAAAATTTTTTTCCAACGAGATATTATTTTCAGAAAATATATTCTTTTCTACAAATTACACCCTTTTCCTTAAAGAATTTTTTTTAATAACTTTTGTATTAAGAATTTTTTTTATTAAAAACGCATTTCATTATTGTAAAAAGATTTTGTTAAAAATGTATTTTTTTATAAAAAAAAATTATTATTATTATTATTTTCTATTACTGATTTTTTTTTAAATATTTTTTTTTCTAATTTGTAGAGAAACTCTTTGGGAAACATTTTTCCCTTGGTCCTGAAAGGGTTAATGTAAGTCAGCCGCTGGAATTGTGATCAGGATTTGAAGTCAAAATCTAATGCGAAGACGACACCAAAGAGCATATCGGGTTTCCAGCCAACAGTCGGGTCTACGGAACCGTAACGAGCCAGCAGCATTCACCGTTACACGAACAGCGGATAGAGTCCACTGCGCTATGAAGCGCTATGCGCGCAGTGAGAGAATGCAGAGTAGTTTTGGTGAAGAACTGCATAAACTACCAATTAGTTCATGCTTTGTTTTAATTAAGTAATGAAAGGAAGAGCACACACTATTACGTGTTTTCCGACGATTATAAAGTAAGTTCATAATAAGAGTTCTCGTAGCCGACCACTAAATGTAATGAAATGATTAAAACCAAATAAGAAAATCATGTTCTTGATTCAACAATTACACGAGCAACCATCGTTTAAACACCCAGCGTATGCCAAACGCTTTTGCAGCCCACAAAAAGTTGGTGGAACACAGAAATTTCCGACAAAGTTTAGCCCCACAAAAAAAAAAAAATAAGTGTAAGAAAAAATTTGGAAAATTTCACAAACAACTTTGCAATGAAATTACATTGGTTTCATCTACTGCGCTGCAAGAGAGTGCAGCCAAAAGTAATTTAAGATTTCGACGAATAACGAAAGTGAATAACTAACAGAGAAGCGGGGCAGAAGAAATGGCGTGAATGCAATGTGAAGGAGATCTGAATGCAACGGGAAATGGACCGGGGACCGGGCGGCGGCAGGCAAGTGAAAAGTAATGTTTGTGACTTTTGGCGACGACTGTTGCTGTAATGGACAGGGGGAAAAGTGTAGCATTGACAGATAAGCCGCACATATAAGCGTGCGGGTAAACGATTTTCTTTGGAGTATCTACACATACATATGTACAGGCGTCGGGGTAGGCATGCTGTTGCTGTTGCTGCTGCCACTCCCATTGCCGCTGTTCTCCTGCCGAACCACCAAGCGGCTGCTGTTGATGTCATTCTGTTGCCGCTGGCACTTTTTCTGGGTGTGTGTGTGTGAATTTTTTAACCCGTCAGCGCAGCCCACTTGCTGGCAATGCCACCTTCCTTGACGTGCTTTTGCTTCCTCCGTCTACTCTCCTGCTTCGTCTCTTCGGTGCAAATAGCACAACTATGTTCATGCACAATTCAGTACACGCTGCGTTTGCTGGTCATAAAGGGTCCTACCCGCGCCCTCTTCCATTCGTTGCATGCGCTGCTGGGTTGTGAGCGCGCGCATTGTTAATTGAATTTATTCGTACACTTTGGTTAATTAGTTTCAGTCAAGTGCATATCATGACTATAGTTTTGGGTCGTTTACAATTTGGTTTTTGTTTGATTTTTTTCTTCACTTCTTACTCAATTTTCAATTTCTTTTTAGCTGCTTCATTTTTGCCGCAAGCCTTTACTTCTTGGCATTTTTTTTTTGCCATTTTGCCGCTGCCTTTGTTTTTATTCAATTGTTCTCATTGGCTGCACTGGCTTTTTTCTTGTTCTTATTGCTGCTGCAACTGCACTTGCTATTTTCGTATGCAACAACTGCTGCAGCAAAGTTTGAAACAACAAAAAAAAAAGAAGAGGAAAAATCGCGCAAAGGTGTCACTCACTCACCAGCCAGGCAGCTAGCCAGCTAGTTTCTGTTTTTTGCCTGCTAGTCGTCATTATTGTCGCCGTTTGTCTAATTAAAAATGCATGACTCTTCTTCTTATGCGCTTTCCACTGCCCTACTCTGTTCTGCGCTGTTCTGCTACTTCGCCTCCTAGGCTAGGTGTTACAGACACGCCAGCCAATCAAAAAAAAAAAAAAAATAATAAAATAAAATAATTATAATAAAGAAAAAAATCCAATTTCTATTGTTAAATAAAATATTTATTTTCAGTTAGATGCGCCAATAAGTACATTATAATGAGCACTGTATATCTGGGCCTTGGCAAAACTTCAACACGCCCCGCCGTGCCACGGCTGCGCCACCACAGACACCGCCTTTATTTGTCGTGGCCGTCGCTATTGCAGGGTTGTTGCATTGTCTGTAAACTTTATGGTCGATTTGTCTCTACGTCCAACTGTACGTCAGACAGCCAGCTATTCTGCGTGTTCGTTTGGAGGTTTCTTAAATTTTTTTCATCTTCTTCTTCTAGCCCAGCCATAATGATTTGTTATTATAACACCTCATCTCACAAAGTCAGCCAGTGAGGCAGGCAAAGTCAGTTGGTTGCTTGGCCGCTTGAGCTATTGCGAAAATTGCTTATGAAGAAATATGTATAAATTAATTTGTTTGTTTGTAGTTTATGAAAATGCATCTAATTTAGTTGGGCACTTCGTGGCGCATAGAAATGTGTATGAAAAATTTGCGTAGAACAAAACTAATTTCACAATAAATATTAGGGATTTCACGAAGTCTTGCAGAGCGTTTGCACGGTGCAAAGACTTCAAGAATCACGCAATTATAAAGGGTGGTAAATTGATCCAGCGAAATGTGAGTAGTTCAGGTATCGCTCCCGGTATGAAACGAAAATGTAGCGCGAGAGGTCGGTAAATCAAGTATGCAAAAGGTTTTGTTCATTCTCGAGTAGTATACACCATGCCATGCCTAGGGGGTCTGAACCTAGTCATGCTGTGGTCAGACCAATTTATTGCATATGAAAACGTAGATGGTTCGCTCAGTTAGATAACCAGCAACTAAACTGATATAAGTGCAATTAAACAGAATAATACTATTCTCATCTAATGAATTGGCGAATATCACGGATTGTCTTAGGCGCCCTATCACTCGCCAGTACCAATTGCGTTCTGACTATACCAATTTAGTAATTATGGCACTCGAAGAAGACCTACTGAATGAATCCACAAAATGGTTTCGAGCCCACAAAGTCTGTTAGGAATCCCACTCATGCCGTCTAGCCGGCGATGTCGTTGCCTTCGTCCTCATAGTGGTCTGAGAACGAGAACAGTATTTTCGTATTTCTCGCTGCAAAAATCAGAAGCAAATAAGTATTTAGCAGGCTTGGATTTGATAATCTTGTTATACAAAGACGATCTGCAGGACAGCTTTGCCTGTCAAAGGTTTAATTTGACGCAGGTTGAGATTGCTAATACTTCAGCTTGGAACACCGCGAGGCACCTGGATCTTCCAAAGAATACCTATATGAAGCCGCTTTGTATAACAGTTGTCGCGAGAAAGTCTGCCTCGTGGCTGACGTTCAAATCCTGGCAAGCATGCACTTGATATTACCTGTTTACTGTAGTTTACTAAGACGCTCGAATCTACGGAAATTTATCATAAACATCCTTCAGCCCCCATTCTAAATGGTGTAGGGCTTGCACTATCCGACGGGGTTAAATACTTTGGTATAATTCTCGAAAGGAAGTTGGACCTTGGCTTGCGGCTTTCTGACCACTGTGTCGTTTTCCAGGCCGAATTAACAGTCATTAGCGAGGCCGCAACTTCTCTATAATCCATCACCATTTATTCTGGCAGCAAAGCAGCGATTAAATCTCTACAGTGTAGCAACACTTCTTCGAGAGTGGTAGACGAGCTTGCAAGAGGGAACTGTCACTCAGTTAACTCTGGGCATGATGCAGGCGTCCTTGTCTTCGTGTAGACACCGTTTGTAATCTGTTTTCAATGAGCTGGCCAGCGAACGAAGGAACCAACTTGTTCCCTTACCAAGCAAATCTGGTCAATGAGAAAGGATCCAAGAATCTCATACGAACTGAACCTTCCATTATTAGTACAGTGGTCAGTATCATTTCAAGACACTTAACGATTTCTGTCGTGGCCGCAGGAACCAGGAGGAGGTGGAGAGTTTATAGAGCACTTTCTATGACAAGGTCAAGACTTGCTATTTGTGAAAAATATTTCTTTGGGCTTTTAGCTAATCTCGGCTCAGATGGGTTTATCACACGGTAAACTGAGGGAAGGAACCAGCTGAAGTGGAATCACGGAAGATTGAAAACCTATTTAGGGATTATTAGGCTTTATGGTCAATAAAACTTTGTCACGCAAAGGCTTATTTTCTGCTACGAGTTCAAAACAATTTTCTAGCAGCCTCGATCATAAATTCAGAACATACATACATACGTTTATTTTATAAAAATAAAAAAATAATTTTCTGCGAATTTCGTCACACCCTTTATTCATATAATATGCAGCATCCATGTGTATGTATGTATGTATGTAAGTTTTTGCGCCAGTTGTTCACTCATTCACTCAGTATAAACAGCGTCCTTAGAATCGTAGCTTAGTTACTCATTAAGCAAGTCAAGGAAATTTTTTCTATTGTAATTAAATTAGCAAACAAGTTCAATTTTTCGCAAAAGTATTGTAATGCACACAAAATATGGTACTGCAAATTGCATGGCCGGGTGATATAGTTAAATTGGTTAGAGCCAAGGAAAAAAAAAAAAAGACAAAAACCAAATACAAACGAGAAATATTTCGAGAAAAAAATAAAAACTATTGGCTACAAACATATTTATATGGTGCTGTGTATAGCATTGGACGGCTTTGGGATAATTCCCGAATAAACATCAGTTAACAGAGCTCACTTTATATGAAATACACTGTTCCATTTTGAAAAGACTATAGCCTATGAACAGATTTATTGTACCAAGATACGAGAAAAATTGGTACATTCAATCACTGTAGCTAATCGGGCAGCTGACTGCGTATCGCTAATCTACTATGTGTGCACACCACCAAAAACGAGGTAGCTCAATTAAAAAGTTAACTGACTCAATTAAAATTCTGTCTGCACATTCTGTTACCTCTTAATGGATTTTCCTGAAATTCTTTTTGTAAGTGGTTTAAAGTAACTTATTGAACCATTTCTACCGAGCCCGCAAAATGGGTCCTTGGAATGGTAAATGTAAATGTCGTTTCGAAACACTGAACCCAACTATGTCGATTGCTGCTTGGTTCCAAAAAGACCTTCTCAAGTCAGAGCTAAAGGAATAAAATATACGAATATATTTATATTTGTATTTTTTTCATGGGTCTTTAAAGACACAATGGGTTACATGTATTCGTTTTTTCGTACGAATTGAAGTTTGAATTTCCCTAAAGAATATTTTTATCAGTGTCGACGACTACCATCAAGCCAATTGAATTTTTTGAGATTTCGCTGTTCCACCACTTTATTTACAAACGACCGCCTAAATTTTGAAAAATCTAATTTGAAACAAACAGCTTTAATTGTAGCATTTATGCGCCTCACATTCGCCATTCAAATGCAAATAGCAATTGTTAATTAATTATGTAAACAATGATTTATATGACACATATTCAATGACATTACAACAAAAACAGTATAATGATGTTCAACTCAAGGCACAAAACTACGTCAAATCGTAAATAAAAATATGTGTCTGCAGTTTTCGCA